GTTTGTTACGGTCCCTTGGGTGGTCAATGTACAGAGGTTCTACTATATTTGTAATAGATGGTGCCTGCTGAGGTTGATCTCTCATCTTTGTGGTTCCATGTAATGAGCTATGAATCAATATTCATTTCAGAGCAAGCTTGTAGATGGCAAATATGAGTCTCTTGGTCATGCAATGAAAATGGGTCAACAGTGAGGCAATGCCAGGAAAGGATGTGAACTACATTTTTCCCATGGAATACAGAGGCTCTTAACTTCAAAGGCTCTCATCTACAGTACACAACTTGCTCATAAAATATTAAATGCACACTTTAAATTTCATTTGCAGTAGATTAAAACACCAAACAGCTTTAAAGGATAAATGCCACCTGAGGTTCCACCATTTGGCTGAGGCTGGGAGTGCTGCTCTCACCTGATGGTCCTGTTGGAGTCCTCGTGGTCCGGGTCTGGATCCTGCATTTCCCCACCGTCATTCTGGCACTCTGCCATCACCATCTCAGCATCCTGAACCATTGCCTCTTCCATGTCATCCATGAGCCCACTGTTCCTTTCACTGTCATTGTCATCACTCCCTTCTTCCATGACCACATCGGACTCCGCCCCAGGGCTAAGCAAATCTGAAAAGTATTTTAAGCCATGAAGGTGAGCTGGAAGTCTTGAAGCCACGGCTTAGAGAAAGTTAGGCAATCCAGAAGGATTGGAACTAGAAGCCCTAAAAATGCAGCAGCCCTGTGAAGAATGTATTTCTTCTTTCACTTGCCCTTTTTATTTCACTTTGTAAGTATCTGAATTTATGAAAGTTTGAATATGTGATTTTATAGGTAGAGGCTTGTTTTTCACATACCTAAGGCTTAAACCATGAATAGCCTTGGGAAGAAGCCCAGGCTCAGACAGAATCAAAGTGGTAAGAGGTAAAAGGACACCAGGCACAAGGTACCAGGGACCTGGCCCTATTTCAGGAGCAAAGCCCTAGTGAGAAAAAGAAATATGTAAGAGGATGAAGACAACTTTCACACGGATGAAGACTCATGGTCCTTGATTCTTACTGTAACAGTAACTCTTAAACAATGGATTCTAGTACATTGAATTGTTTACATACCTATAGCTTTTAAATACCCAAGACATTTGATATTTGAAATAATGTTGAAGCCCGCCATTATGTAATGATGGTAAGGTGAAAAAAGTGTAATTACTAATGCAAAGCACTCATTTTAAAATTCTAATAGAAAATGGACAGATCACAGATCCTATCCTGCCAAGCTTGGAAAATTCACTTTTTACCAGATTTTTCTGACTATATGGGAAAATGTAGTTTCAGAACAATCAACAACCTCCCAAACTTCTCTGTTTTCCCTCAGTTACAGTTGTCAAGTATACACTGACATGTTCTGGTCCTGAACAAAGTCAACGTCAGATGCCACAGAAAGTGGGAAGATCACCAAGCTTTCAATTTGATAACTAGTTCATGAATCTCTGAGTCAGAAACTATAACTAGTTAATGAATCTCCAAGACAGAAACCAGTATTATGATAGAGTGTTTTCCTGAAGAGCTCTCTTTTCTTTTTCTTCTAGGGATAATATACAGTAGACCCTCCATAGTTGACCACCTCCCTACACTAATCACCTCTATCAGTTGACTTAATTGCCATAGACCAGACATGCACTACATGTACTGATTGGAACACTGACTGACCTCTATATATTGACCACCTCTGTAAGTTGTATGTTGACCATTTAGATTGTAACACACAATATTAATTACCCTCTATAGCTTGCTGAGTTGCGTCACTCTACCAAGGGGTAGAAAGTGTGGCCTTTGCCCATAGTTCTATTATTTTTACTTTAGTACAAGTTATTTTTTTGTTTTATTATCATCATGTGTTGGATTAGGGCTAATGTACTATTGTTTATCATGTGTTGTGGAAGGGTTTTTTTCCATGTATAGGACTGGTCTGAATTGTAGGTACATCCTACAATTACAGTAGGACCTCCATAGTTGACCACCTCCCTACATTGACCACTCCCTAAGTGGACTGAATCTTCATAGACCAGACATGCCTCACACATACGTATCAGTACTGTAGACCTAGTTCCTGTGTTGAACACCTCCATATGTTGACCAGTTTGTTATAGTCCCTTGGGTGGTCAACTTAGAGAGGTTCTACTGTGTAGTTATTTTGGAAGTGAATGTTCTGGAACAACAATCATTTGTTCTTCAGCTTTCTAATGACGTAAATATGTGATTTGCTTCCCTGGTTTTCTATGATGTAAATATGTGATTTGTTTCTAATGATGTAAATATGTGATTTGCTTCCCTGGTTTTCTATGGCCATTTTTCTTCCAGATCACTTAGATAACTGATATCAGAATGAAAGTATAAAGCAATCCACCATACATGGAAGAAGCCTGGAATTCTATGTAAAATATCACGGTAGGAACCACTATAATGTTACCTGGGGAGAGAAAGTAAGAAGTTCCCTTAGGATATGGCATTTTTCTTAGGAGTTTTTTTTAAGTTAATTTATGCAGTTAGAGTTTTCCCAAGGAAATAGTCCCAAATATTAAGACAAATTTTTAATTTTTTTAATTGGCCCACTTAAAATTCCTTTTATTATTAAAGATGTTTGGAATGAGGACAGAGAAAAAGAGACAGAGAGCTATAACTTGTAGGCATCCTAACCACTTCCATATTTCTAGTAGCTGTTCAACTTGTAAAGATCAAGAAAGACTCTGTGTGTGTGTGTGTGTGTGTGTGTTTTCATCAAAACTCAGTGGACGCTTTTCCACAGTAAAGTAGAACAGACTCTGGCCATACATCGCTCTGGGCTGGGTCTGAGGTATCTCAACCAAGGGGGTGAAAAACAAAACTAAAGAAATCCTGCTAGATCACAGCCGCCACCCTCTCTAGCCAGGGAGAAGCACAGACACGCACGGGGCCTTCACCCACCTCCATTGATGGTCACTTCGCCGAGGCAGTTGTTTGGAACTTTTGGTGCACAGCGTTTATGACAGTTGAATCTGCAATCTAGCCTCGATGATTTTAAAACAAAACAAAACCCAAGAATTCATTAGAAAGATAAGGTGAAAAAAAAAAAAACACACACACAGTAATTTCAGAGGGGTGAGGATTCATTTAAGGGCGGAAGCTGGGCTGGCGACAGAACCGTCCTTACCTTTGCACTGCAGGCCCTGCCTGAAAAGCCCCTTGAGAAGCTTCTTGCAGTACTGGCACACCGTGGGCCGCGTGTAGGAATGGATGACGAAGGTGTGCGGCACCTTAACTTTAGACATCAAAATCTTGTCCAGCTGGATCGGCCGGCCAATGTATGACTGAGAATTAGACCTCTTCTCTCGGCCAATGAAGGACTCTGAGGGTGACTTTTGCTACATGTTTGAAAAACAATGAAGGGCAGTAAGATATAAGAGCGCTTGACTTCTATATTGACATATTCCTGAACCTCCTTTTACTACTGTATTTGGCGTTTGGGTCCTGAGGAATAGGAGTGAAGTGGTATGTTTCTGTGAATAAACATCTATTATCCTCCTCCCCTGTTTCTTATTTGTGTCACCTTGTTCGTATAGTTTGAGAATTGGAGATAATGAGGATTAGAATCTGATCTCTAGGTCTTTTGATTATCTTTTGCTTCTAAAAATACTTTGAATGTAGAAATACAAAGTTAACAGTAAGCCAAAAAATGGCAAGGTCCCCAATGCTACGGCACACAGGACTTCACCGGCGTTTTCTAGAGTGTCACGTGCACGTGTCAGAAAATGCAGACAGCTGAGAAAGATATAAAATGGAAAGCAAATGCACCCGTTCGCCTTCCATGGTGCTTTACCCGAAAAGGGCCCGGGGTTCCATTAAAATCGCTCAAAAACATGGTTTTAAACTATTCCCCAGCCATATAAAAAGCCAATCATTAAAATTATACTGTTGTTATTATTATTGAAAAGGACAGCAACTAAGGAACTACACGAGACACCCCAGTACTGGTGTCTGGGTTATAACTGCACCTCTGTGCACTCTTCTCTCTCGTTTTGTAATTATTTAGTTCATTTTTAGTATTTTTGGATAATTTCATGGTACCTCTTCATATTGTGAAAATGTACCGGGAATCATCAGGATAAAAAAAACCCATCAAATTATTTCTTAATAGTTGCTATAATTATATATCTCCTTTATTAAGCTCTTAACTCTGTCCTATTACCTATAGGGACCTGAAAAGATAGGTCTTTTCATCAACAGTTGTATCATCTAAACTCACACAGTTTAAATACATTTCTTAGGGCCAAATGCTAAGAAGGAGTGGAGCCAAAACATGAACCTCTATTCATTTGGCTCCAGAACCGGGGAATTGGCACCTTACTCAGTTAATTTCTAATTTGAAATGATGACTGATAACACAAGAAATAAATTATATTTACAGACAATTTTTGTCTCTTTCGATTTCTATCTACAACAAAAGGTAATAATAATACTACATAGCGCCAAAGAGGGAGATTTTCATTTGCAGATTCACTAGCTGCAGTAAAAGGAAACTTGGGAGGAGATTCTATATAAGGATATCATGCTTACAGCTGTAAAATCGGTATTCCAGTTCTACAAAGAAAGAATATAAAGCATAATTATTCTAGAAAGGCTCAAGTCTTGAGGAGAAGTCCAGGGAGCTTAGAAAGATGGACTAAAGGCTTGCTAAACCAGAATCATGAATAGATCAGATAAAGACCTGTAATGGAATTGAAGGATAATTAAATCCATGGGGTTAGGTCCCTGTTCAGTGTGCCTTAGTAACTAGGAGCCAGTTTTAAGTACAGACTAAAATGAAAGTTACATTTTTCCACAGTTGGAAAATTTTAACATTCAGAATAAAAAGATGACCTGATGTTACACTTTCTTAGCAGGCTTAAAATGTTCTCAGATTTGGAAAATCCTATGAAAAGCTGGTCAAACCACTGTTTCACTTAATTTAAGATACCTCGTTCTAGGTTGTGCCATCAAAGCCATCTTGACACAGGAGTATTTACTATCCCACAGGGCAAATTTATTAGATGAGCAAGAATAAATCTGCTAAACTGAACTTTCTCTTCTCATCCGACACAGGTACATTCACGCAGACACTGCCCTTAACTACAAGAACCAGCAATATTCTCGAGAAGCCATTTATTTATAACTTTCAAGTCAGAAGAAATTTTAAAATATTGCATGATCAGGAAAAAGCAATTGGCAGTATACTATACTGGGCACAGAGTAACAGCTCACACGCTACAGAGTGCCAGCAATTAAGACTTTCATACTATGAATAAAGAGTGCCCTCCTGCCATTAATGACATTTAAAAAGAATTAACATCAGCTAGTAATCAAACCAGAAAGACTTATACCTTTTATAGTCCCAAATATAATTAACAATTTTCAATATGGCCTATATCTAAATTAAATGGTAAAACTTTAAAATCTTGAGACAGAGGTGCATTTATGGTAACTCCTCATGCAGAAATTGATTTCCTGCTGGAAGGAGATTATTTATATGCTTTACTTTGACCACATAACAAAGGAAAGGAAGAGGGAAGAAGCTGCCTGAAGCTTTGTTTGGAATATTCCCTTCTACCTTTCTGAGAATGTACACACACATATTGGCATGTGCTTTCCCTAACATGAAATAAATCTCAAACGCTAAGACAAAAAAGGAACATGGAGCCACTGATAATTTCCTAAGTGCTTATGGGGTATTTATTCATTCTTTCTTTTTTTTAAAATTTCCAGTTATATTTTATTTATATGCTATCTCCAATGGTATTTTTGAATAAAGTTTTCTACTTATGCATAAAAATACAATTGACATAGACAAACATATAGATATATATAGATATATATATTTTGTTTCCAGCATCAAAACATAAAACAAGGATTTTCTTGATACATGCATGTGAAACCAAAAGCTTTACAGAATAGGGCTATTACCCTGTAATAACAAAAGAGATTTCATTATACATAAAGTTTATATACAAACAACATTTACATTCTTCCATTAACTTACTTCTTTTTTTGCTTCCTATATAATTATTAATGTAGATAGTACTTCAGAGTTTTAAATAACACCTTTCTTTTCACAGTTAATTCTAGTTAAGAGAAATTTGCCCTTACCCATCAACACCAGTGAAGGTTACTAGGTTTATTAGGTTAACTAAATTCTATTTAAAACAATCTGCACGGTTATTTGCTGTTCCAGTTTGGCCCTGTATTTGGTGAATAAGGGCAATGTACGGGATGATTATTTTTTATGGGAATAGGAGGAAAGCTGAAATGCTTTGGAAAGAGGACAGCTACATTTTGTTTTATTCTGCTTCATTAATATGTTCAATAGCAAAAACTGGCTCAAAATTTGAAGAACGTATCTAAAATTCCATTCTCTATAACTATAGGAAGCACATGTAGGAGAACACACTTCTAAATTAAATTTTTATATTAGTCATGGGCCCTATGAATCGTCCTTTTCATCACTGGAAGATTTTGGTCAAACTGCAGATGCAGAACTTTTACAAGTATTGACATAGCTGTAAAACATGGTATTGGGTTAGATGCATGTAAGTGATTCGATCTAGCAAATCACAGATGATGAAATAGATCAAGGTCCCTTTTCTGGACTCAGTATAAGACACTGCAGTCATGGGTGAAAGAGAATTTGAGAACAGAACAATGCTGAAAGTCAACTTTTAAAGCCAGGAACAGAAATTAAGTGAAGATTATAAATAATACAAAAAAACTTAAGTCTAGTTTTGTGAAGCATCTGTAACATTCTTACATGGTTAGTGTTTCATTTGAAATTACAGGCCAAGTTAGAACACCAGGCACTGAACATCCACTTAGAGACAATGTCTCCTACTCTTGTAGAGATTGAATTTATTTTTCAACCTGGTATGCTAAAATTAATGACTCAGCAAGTTGGAACCTTCCCAGGAAACGATCACTTAGATTACATTATGGAAACTCCAACTGCCAGCATGTCTTTAAACACTTACCAGGACTGAAACAGTTTCCTAACAAGGTACATTCCACTTGGCAGTTCAAAATGAACTCTTTTCATTAGTTAAGCTAGAAAACAGGGGAGAAATATTACCTTTACTTGGGGTCTGTTTATTGTCACTCATGTAAAAATCAAACATAAAATTTCCTGAGATAAAAGTCACTTATAAAAGGCATGAATCAAATGGAAACTCCTGGAGCATGAAAATATTGATATTTATTAACTAAAACTCTTTTCACAGCCCCATATTATGTCTGGATTTGGGGGGATATAAACTCTCCTTATGTTAAAGAGAAATAGAAAAGTAGAGAATACTTCATCATATATATATATATGTGCATCGCTTTATAAATCTGTCTGAATCACAGGACAATGAGCTGCGAAGGGAAGAACAATGTCTTAACTGTGTTTGTTTTCTACTAAAGGAAAGAAGTGTCTGGTACATGACAGCAGTAATAAGCACTGTTTGACCTGAACAGAATGTATGTTTTCAAGAAATAAATGCATAAGAGTGATGGATGAGGCATTTCAATAAAACCCAGAGTGCAATGCAAACTTTTAAAATTTGATGCTACATGAATCATAACTTTGACACATTTCCTTTACCAGACTTCACCTGTAGGAGAGGACAACTGGCTCAGGACTTTTTCCCACTACAATTGCTTCTTTGTACTTGTCAGCCTGCTCCTTACCCCTTTGTGAATAAAAATCTATGCAAACTCATCTGCTCTAGAAAGAGAGGGGTGGCAAGTACAAATACCTATAGGCTGTTAATACTAGTAAGTGGGCCTCACCATCAGGGATGCAATAGGGAATGGTGGAGATTGGAGTAAATTGGTGGGAGGATGGGCTCAGTGTAAAAGGGATGGCCACTGCCCAGACACTGCTAATAGCTGCCAGGGGAATGTGTCAGTACAGTGTGGCCAGACCTTTTAGTTTTTCAAAAGAAATAGGAAATCTATGGGTGTTATGAAATAACTCTATCTAAACGTTGGCAAAAGAAATACTGACAAAAGAAATAATGGGCCAGTCAACTTATCTGGGGACTAAATCCAGTCGACGGTGAGTCTGAGATCTCCACACTAGATCTAGACAACGATGGAAAATGCCTTTCTAACTTTGACATGCACCAATCTCATTTCATGGCACTTGAGGTGCATTAAGCCACTGATACATCATGACCACTAGTGTGATCCCCATTTTAGAAGCCTGGAAACTGCATCACAGAGAAGTTAATCATTTTCCCAAGATACATGGCTTGTAAGTGGAACTATGAACTCAGGAAGTCTTGCTCCAACATAATAGTTACTCTCCCCCTAGAATCTCCCCAACTTTCATGCTCTTTTTTTTTGTGTGTGTGCT